CATGCTGTAATATATACATAGTAATACGCTGCAGTACTGTTAATATACTGTAATATACTATGCAGTATGGTACTGTAATATACTTTCTTTTGCTTTTATACAGTACTGTGGCATATTGCAGCGTACTGTAATACGCTTTTTACAAAAAAAAATTTTCATAGCTAACTTTTTTACTATTTGTTGATTGTGCGCGAAATTGCACTCGAAATTCGCCTTTAATATCGGCATCAGTTTGTCGTACCAATTCAATCATAAATTCTTGTCCTTTTTTACGTACATGCAATGTCCTGTAATTGCACAAAATAATTTCACATATGACAATTTATCGAATTGACTAAAACCGCAAAAAAAAACGAAAGGAAAATCGAAAAGTGGCGGAAAAAAACGGAAAAAAAACAAAAAAATACCGAAGAAAAAATGGAAAAAATGAATAAAACGGAAAAAAACAAAAAAAAACGCAAAAAGAAGGAACAGAATACGCTTTTGAATCATAAGTGGAAAAATAGCATCAAAATTTATGTTTTAAATTAATATTCAAAAAGAAAAAATGAGATATTTTTTGAAGATAAAATACGAAATCACCAAAGTCGTTGAATCGTTTCTCAAAAAAAGGAAAGGCAAACTTTTAAATCAAATGAGCGAATAAATTATCTTGTAAGGAAAAAAAATACTTGCGATCACCAGAATAATAAGTAATAGTCAAATTGATATTAAATAATAAAAATATTGAACCATTTGAAAAAGAGAATAAATTGCGAAAAAATATTTTTTGGAAACATCATTCAGAATAAGGGTGAAAAGAAAAATACAAAAAAAAGATCGATTAATTAAAATGAATTTGTAATTTAAAATAAATTTGTAATTTAAAATCACAGTTATGAAGAACAATAAAATACTTCGCCAACTTTTTCAAAATATTGAAATTATGATTATTTCCAATTTGTTTTTAAATATAATTAATGAAAATTTTAAGGTCAGAAATAATCAATAAGAAGTGATTTTAATGTTTTTCAAGTTTTGAAAGTATTTAGAAGGTTCCGTATCCCTTTTTGTAAGCTTATTTTAAAAAAAAATGAATTATTATTTCCATTTCATTTGATTTAATCCATTTTTCTTTTTTTCTTTCTTCAATATATCGCTAAATTTTATTACGTATTGCTTAATTTTTGTTTTGAGTAAAATATTTTATCCGAAAACTTTTTCTTAAATTTCATTTAAAAATCTTATAAAGAAGTTATAATATAATAGGTAAATGTTGAAATCTGATTTTGAATTTATTTTGAAATGATTAATGAATAAGTTGGCAAAATTTTTGAAATACTTGACAAAATTTTTTGCACCCACTTTTTTTTGGCCAGAAATATTTAGTAAAAATTTTATTTTTTAAATAATCGATTCCTGATATACCAGGCTCGTACAATGAAGAGAAAAATTTCCGCATAAAAAGTGAAACGGTATTTTTTTTGAATATTTAAATTTAAATATCAAATCTAATTTTTACTTTTATTTTTTTAAATCAAAACGATTCAATAGTTCTAATAAGAATCATTTCGAATAATCAGAATCTCATATCAAAATTGGCACTACTTTTTTAATTAATCATCTGATTTATTATTGTTAATCTACTAACAGCTGTCCTTAGTGATAATTAAGATAAGGCCATTTTTCACGCAATAATTTAATTAGTGATTTTTACTTCGTATTTTCAGATCAAAACAATCGATTAACCAGATAACAACTATTTGCCGTAATAATCACAATAACGTTCTCTTCTACATATTATTGATTTTGATAATACTATCATCTGTAATAAGCCTGATAATGCTATATTTTATATTATAGTTTAATCAGTGTTTAATTAGCCAATAATTAAAATCAAAATGATGACATTTCCCAACTAATCGTAATGATCTCGTTGAATATTATTGATCCTAATAACAATTATCTTTTGTGATAATCAAAATAATGATTTATGTAATGATTGAAATAGTAATTTTTATTTTTCTTATTTGTTATTTTTTAAACCAAAATAATCAATAATTATAATTATCTTTTATAATAATCCGACGAAATTTTCTCTTTATGCAATGATCTTAATTAATATTATGATCTTAATTAATAATAGATCTTAACTAATATTATGATCTTAATTAATAATACTTCTGAGAATACGATCAATTATGCTATGATAATACTAGTATTGTGATAATACTATCATAATATTGTGACAGTACTATTCGTTATAATAGTGAAGATGACATCATATTTTATGTAATGATTTAATTAATGTCACATAAATGATACCATTCTATATATCTAATGCCATGTACAGTTGCAAATAGTGTACGGCCAATTTCTGTGGTAATTACATCTTTGCGCATTTTCAGATAATAGCAATGCGTAAATATAATCAACATATCACTCTTTTTCATATAAACAGTTGTAAAATTTGGATACATTCGACGTGATTGTTGCTTATTTTCCGGATGTCTTAAATTGGAAAAAAATGAAAGAGAAAATTTGAATTTTGAAAATCAAAGAATTTTTTCTCTTTTGAAAATAAAATAAAATTAGTAATAGTTTTTTAAAACATATTAATAAGCAAAAAAGAAAAATATAACGGAAAAAACATTTAAAAATTTAATTAGATTTTTACAAATTTTTGATGAATAGAAATAATGGAAAAAAATAGATGAGTCGAATTTATATATTACTTTATCAATTAATTTTGAATGCTTCATTAAATCAAATAATACTATTAAAAATTATTTAATACCCAAGTGTAATTCGAAATAATATTTAAGTGTAATTTGGATAATTAGTTTCTAATTAATTACTAACCTACCTTATTAGGAGAAATTGGACGATTTAAAAAAAAAAATATTTGTTATATAATTTCTCTGAACTTTCAGATTATTTATCAATAAAACGAAAAAAGTTTACCCCAATCTGTACGGTGTACCAAGACTTATTGATAAATCACTAAATGGAGTGCTAATTAATGACATCGTCCTTGACAGACCAGTAAGTTAGTAGAGAGAAAATTAAAGGAAATATTATCAAATAATGTAACAAAAAAACCAAATCTTATCATTTTATTTTATACTGATAAATTTTTGCAAAATTTTGCATAAAATAATAACTAAAAGAATTTGCATAAATCCATGAAATGAATGCTTTTTTTACTTAAAATTTGATCATTTGCCATCTAATCATTTTTTTTTGACTAAGTTATCAAAATATTCTCTAATTTATTAATAATTTTTTTTTGTAACATATATTAAAGTGAATAAATAATAGATAAAAGAGCAACGAAATTGTTTATAATATTTATCCTCTAATATTTAACTTGGCGATACAAATATTAAAATGATAGGAAGGATATATATGAAATAAAATTTCTGATATCAAACAAACGGTGATGACAAAAGGCGATAAAATTATAGAAGAATAATGCGAAGATTTAATCAATCATTGGTGATAACAATATTGAATGATGATAATAATGTTAAGTTTATTCAGTAATCGATAACAACAATATTAAGTGATGATAATAGCGTTAAGTTCATTCAGTAATCGATGACAACAATATTAAGTGATGATCATTCTGCTATTCTACTATCATTCTATTATTCAAATGAATATAAATGCAAATATTTTTTAATTCAAATGTTTATCAATGCAAAAAGGAAAACGTTTGACTTGTTGAAGGATCACTCATATCTGATTGATGGTGTTCATAAATGACAAATAAAACTAGTGAAAAAAATCGTCCCTAGAATGTATACATTTTTATT